CTGCCAGCAGGTTGAGGCACCTTCCATCAGGAGAACCTGGGCAACAAGGCCTGGAGCCCCGGCCCCCACTGAGGGGAGGCCCTCAAGGCACTGCAAAACCCAGCTCCGTACCAGACACGGGTCCCGCCCACTGCCTCCTGTGCCCAACCTCAGCGTCAGTCCCTGCAGAGACAGGCTATGTAGAAGAGGCAGCACGGCCGAATGGCCATGGACGCGGTCGCTGGGTCCAGATTCCAGTTCTGCCGCTCAGTTATACCTTCGGGAAAACTGCATAGTTTCTCTGTGCTGAGCTGTCAAATGGGGAGAAGCCTTCACAGGGGCGTGAGGAGGGTTCAGGGTACAGTGCACACAAGGCGCTTCAGCACAGCACCGCCTGGCACATAGGGAGATTCCCTCTGTGCAGTAAAACCTCACTTTGAATTTAAATAAACCTATAGATATATAAATACGGGCCAGCAGCATATCAGAGAAAGAGAGAGAGTGAAAGAGAGACATCAATTTTCTTTTTTTTTTGCTTTTTTTAATATTTCTGCCCTGGGGCTCCATGCTATTCTCTGCACCCTTATAGTACTCCTGCCTGACGCACTTGAGCTCGCTCGAGTAGGGCTCTGCTCCATGTAGTCAAAAGAACCCTACCGTGAACAGGCTTCCTGCCTTTGTCCATCCCGTGTTTGAGCCAGACAGGACTTGGCTCTTCCTTAGCCTTGGCCTTCACTCCATGCTCCTGTCCACACCGGCAGAGGCACTGCCCGCCTCGCCCTCAGCCTCCTCGAGGGTCAGTCCCTCACCTGCAGAGCCCTCATTCCCACCACACCTCCCCACAGCCCTCCCCAGCCCACCCGGCCAAAGAACCTTCTCTCTGCTCCAAAGTCCCGTGCTGCTCACTCGTGTGCCCCCACGGAGGGTCCGGCCCAGGCTCCCTCATTTAGCAGTCCCTTCCCTTGGACAAAGCCCTCAGCCCCTCCGAGCTCAGTTTCCTTGTGTCCAGAAGGGAGATATCACTGCCAGTCTGGCCCCTCGGATGGAATGATTATCAAGCACACACCAGAAAAACGTGTGCAATGACTCTAAAAACTTAAAAGTGGTTTCCAAACATGTAAGTGCTTTCCCAAGAAACTCCAAAGAATGTACAGCAATCTGAAAATGAGCACATAGGCTCTTCACTCTGTACCACTCTGCCTTCTTTACAATCCTCCGGGAACTCTGAATAATGGGAAACCCCAGAGGGCCCCAATGACCTGTGAGCCACACGGGCAGGCTCCTGATGTACGCAATATACTGAGCCCTGAGCCCTCGTCCCAAAAGAATTCTGGCAGCACCTGGCCCCTCCCACAGCCTCAAAACTCTCCATCCCTTGTGCACTCGGCTCTAGGACTTGGCAAGCAAGTCTCTCCAAGTCTGCCCATAACTCTGCATTTGAAAGGCTCTGTGGCCCACGGTAAGTAATTTACATAAGGGCCAGTTGGATGGAGCACAGCAGGACATAGCAGGGAAAACAAAATGCAGTAACCTGGATTTCACTGGACCGGCCAAAGCGCTCAGAGAAATCCGAAGACCATGCTGAAAGGACAGAGTCCTCTCTACATAGCTCCTTCAGCCTCTGAAAAGTCACCATGGGGAGGGGCTGTAAATTATGCCTCTTTAGGTAATTTTACATGACACAGCCACAAATGACTCTATTTTTCCTAATTGAGAGAAATAATAAAATCTCTTCTTTCTCCTCCTATCTATGTCCTCTATCCAGAGGTTCTGCTAATTTAAAGCATTTGGTGGAAAAATAATACTAAGGCATTGTTCTTATAAAAAAAATTCTAATCGGTTTGAGTTCAATTCTAATATGCACAGAAGAATATGAGCTTACCCTGTGTGATGGTACAATGACAAAATGAGTTAATTACCATCTCTTCCTAAGACGAATCTACTTGTCACAGGAACAGGAGCCATTATTTCACACAAAATAATGACCTAGATAAAAAGTAATGACTGCAAGCTGTAGCAACCAGTGACACAGATTCATCTTGGCCTAACTGAATGGCAATTAACAAGTGTCACTATTACATGTATAGAAATAGGGTCCAAGTTATTCATTACATATTTACAATGAAAAAACACAAATGGTTTTTAGTATACTTCTTCCCGAGAAGCACCTGTGGTCTTCTGTCTACATGATGACAGAAACATTTACACACATGTAAAATTCTGGCATCAGTTGGAATAGGCATGGACCCTGGAGAGGGCCATTCAAGGACCCTCTGCTCTTTGCACACAGAGGTGGGGTTTTCTCTAGAAATCATGTCCAGCAACAGAACAGAGGAGCAGAGGGAAGAGGCCTAGTCCCATTGTTTTGTCCCTCCTCTCCTGGTTGTTCATGGCAGCTGCCTCACCAACAGCCAGATGTGCTGGGTCCTTCCAAGTCCAGCCCCCATCCACTGACGGCAGGGGGGTGATGGCGGGACAACTTCAACACACCTGGCTCCTTCAAGGCGGGGATGACCATAAACCACCTTTCTGTTTAGAGGAACAGAGATGAGAGACTGTGGGACACACATCAGAGACAAAATCCAGGTCAGAAATCTCAGTGCTGCCACAGTATGCAAGTTGACTCTACTTCGTCTGGGTCCAGTAATTTTTATTTGAAGAACCAAGGCTATGGCAAGAGCAGGATGATATGTTATCACTTTCAAAACATTAAAAACAGAATTCTTATACAGTAAGCTCTCACTTAATGTTGTCCATAGGTTCTTGGAAACTGCGACTGTGAAATAACAAATAACTAAACTAATTTTTTTCTCATTGTTACAAAGGGGCGCAGTGGCACAGGCCTGTAGTCCCAGCTACTCGGGAGGCTGAGGCAGGAGGATCGCTTGAACCCAGGAGTTGGAGGTTGCTGTGAGCTATGGTGACAACACTGCACTCTACCCAGGGTGACAGACAGAGCAAGACCTTGTCTCAAAAAACAAAACAAAAGTTATAGCAAAACGACATTGAATGAAACCACACTGTGGACCTGCCATACATCATTCCACTTATTAACCACGACGTTAAGTGAGTACTTACTATACGAATATAAATGAGCATACATCAATCATTTATTTAACAAATTATCAAACAAATCATCACATGCCGATATGCACACACATACATAATCAGAGGGGAAAAAAGAATGCTGGGATAAGAGTAAAAAAGTTAAATAAAAACTAGCTAATGTCCCTGAGGGCATAAAAACCCTAACTTTGAGGTTATCTTCTGTTAGACAGATGCCCATGTCCACTTGGGTACTACAGAAACCCAGCATCTGAATAGCCCACGAATCACACTGTGTTTCCTGAACACCCAAGATGGGCCCAATGTAATGGGTCAGTCACACAGTGATCTAGTTTGGCTGGGACAAAGGTACCAAATTATGTGTTTTTAAAAGAGCACACATGAGGGAAGGGACAGAGCCTCATCCCTTCATTTTCTTACTTACCCCTCAAATATTCCAAGAATCTGAGTGTTAATTACAAAACCATTTCTAAAATTATTTTTTCCCAATATTGAGATCAGGGGGTAAATTCCACCTCTAGGACGTCCCTACCCAAACTAATTAGAATATTTTATTTGTGGCAATCCAAAGAAGATGTCCCTATAGGTATCTACACAGGTTACAAAAACACATGTGTCCTCAGGTTTATGCATGTGTGAACAAAAACTACTTTCTTCTCAATTCTTAAATAATGATCTGAATTCTCCCAGAGTAGAAAGAGCCTCCATCATCCTAGGAAATTACCAGACATTTTGACCTAAGAGATCACCTGACTCCTAGACTATGGCTCTTGGCTCCCGCCATGCATGAGCAGCTGTTCCCAGGGCCTTGGGGGCCCGAACACTTAGTAAATGTTGGAGGGAGGCAAGAAGCACACAAATGTCCTTTAAAGGGATGCTCCAATCATTTCACTTCTCTGCAAAGTCCTCTTGGCGGCTTCCTGTTGCTTTTACAGCCCAGTCCGGCTCTCTCTGGCCCCTTCTCTCACCCCTCACTGTCCTCTGATGTTCTTTGGATTCTGTCTGCTCCCTCCTGCCTCAGGGCCTCACATATGCTGTTCCCTGTTTGGAGGGCTCCCCAGCCTGCCTGGCACAGGTGCAGCTGCACCCCCAAAGTCCTCTTGCTCCTCAGCCCAGCTGCTCCCTGCCTGGTTAAGCTCACCTCGCCCAGCAGGGTTCTGCCTTCCCAAGGGAGGGGCTGCAGCTATTTTGCTCTCTGTATCCCAGCACCTAGTACTATTCTGGGCCCAAGTTGACCACCGATGATATTTATTAATGAATTCCCTGACTGGACCTCAAACAAATCACAATCACCTGTACTGGGTGGGGAATTGCCAATTACGTTGGAAGACTGGGTGAGGGAGAACAAGAAAAACATCAAGCGATGAACTCAGCTCCAGTTGGGGGCAAGGACATTCCCTCTGTAGTAAACGTCACATTGAAATTCAAGTGGACTCTACAATTAGGCATGAAACCTCAGACGGCATGAAGAAAAGTTCAAAACCAGACGCATTTCTGGGCAGATATGAATTCTCTGCAACTAGGCAATTTTCCCTGGAACAACCGCACGCAGTGGCCACAGGACTCTGGCATGCTCCCATGCTGGGAGAGGGAGGGGACCCGTGGCTGTGAAGGCCCATAGACAAAGGAAGGCGGGATCGGAGGGCTCACACCATCTAGAGGGTGCAAGGAGAGTCCTGGCAGTAGGCCTGCTGGCCTGTCAGCTCTTAATGCCGCTCCAGTTCTAAATGACAGGATCCAGGGTCCCATCAGCCTGGAGGCGTGGCTGAAGCCACCTTGCTCCAGAGTCAACTGTGGAAGGGCTGCTCCCCTGTGGGGCTGCCCAAAAGTTTAAGTCATGGTTCTTGCCATAGCCTCTCACATGCGACTGATCTGCCCTAAGCCAGCTCCCCGCCCATTCACTCAGGTCTACACCCCGCGACCCTGTCCAATCGTACCCTGACTGCAGTGCTCACCTTCTTGATGAACTCTGGGATGATTTTTTGGTCTGTCAGGTGGTCTAAGGAGGAACAGCAATCTAATTCCAAGATGTAGCCTTCATTGTGAAGATCAGTTTTCTGAGATCTGAAGAGAAAGAAAAGCACATGCAAAGATTAAGATTTTGCACAATACTTTTTTTTAAAAAGAACCACTAAGTGTTTAATGAAGCCCCAAATTCCTTCCTGACAGTAACTGCCAAAAAGGCACTGCTGAAAAATAATTTATGGTAAACTCAAGTAACATGTATAGATCTATGTCACAGAAAGACCTCCAAGACACAGTGTCACATATAATGATTACAGAACGATGGGTTTAGTAAAATGGGGCTTATACTATAGTTAAACAACACACGCACACAGAAACTCCAATAATCTCTATTTCCCATTAGAAAAAGAACTAGTAAAACGTGCACTAAACCAAATAATAGCAGTTACCTGTGAGAGATGGGGAGGGCCTGTGTGGGAACTGGGGTGGGGGGTGACAGTGGGGGTGGGAATAGTGATGATCAAAAGTGACTTTAGTTATAATCTCTATTTTTTTTCATTTTTAAATGAAGAGAATATATTTATATTATTTATTATATAATATATAATTAATATAATTATATAATATATAATATTATTTATATTAATATATATCACTTAGAAAATTAAAAATTAATTTTTTAAAGACTTTAAAAGGGTTCAACCCCTACAGAGGGCAATCTAGCAAAATCTGTCAAAATGAAAGATGCATTAAAGAAAGATTGCCAGGCAACTAAACGTTAGAAATTCTGGGAAACAGAGTGGATATGAAGGGCTGTCTGAGGTAAAGGCCTCCAGTCTTGTGGTCAGTGTGGAGTCTTCCCAGCATGCCCGCCATCTCCACACGCGGATGAGGGGCTGCTTTCCATGTTGCCACCACACAGACATGCCCATGGCATGACACAGAGCAAAGCTGTGCTCACTCTGGGAGACAAGCAGCAAGCGGTCACCAAAAGGAAATTCCACCACCTCACAGCCATTCCTTGGCGGGGCTCCTGCATGACACTAATGTGGGTCAGGGCAACTCCTGGAAGCCACGTGGTTTTCAGAAACGGAAAGGGATTCCTCGGTCCAGCCAGGCATAAGGCAACAAGAAGGGGCACTGCGGCTAAGGCTGGCAGAATGTGCTCTCTTGTGGGAGGCTGGTGGTGGGGAGCGGAAATTAGTGACCAGGGCTCTGCTCTTTGTCCCAGGCTCACACCACATACACGTCACTCTGCACTAGCTGGGGAGTGAGCAGGGCCCTCCCGGCCCACTTTCCAGGCTGCTCTCCCAAAGAGGGGCAGAGGGGCCCCTGCCAGCTCCTGTGAGAGAAGGTCTGGCCACAAAATCCTTAAAGTAGACACTTTCACACTGAACTCCTGAGACGCATATATCTCACCGACCAGTTTCTAAGTGCTTATTTTCTATAATATTTTGTAATGAATTTATAAGATTCTTATATAGCATTAAAGATAACTTACGCTACCATTAACCATCTGGGTATGATTTACATGAAAATTAAAAGTGAAAAAAAAAAAAGAGGATTTGGTTTTCCCCAGGTGCGCAGCTGTGATTTGGTAAGCAAACTTCAATAGCTTATTTTTATTTTTATTTCCCTCTAACATACCCTTTCAGGTGTAGGGTACTGAGGCATATACATTTGAAATGTAAAAGAATAAACTGATTCCAAATTAGTAAGCCTGGAATAAACTAATTCCAAAAGAATAAACCAATTCTGAACCCTAGGCTTCTTGTCTTAAAACTTAGTTAGAGACTCATGTTCTCATCACCTCCTCCCGCAAACAAAAAACATATTAAGAGGAACCAAGGCAGAAGATTCCAGACTTTTGAAAGAGAAGACTTGGTCAAGATATGCTGTCAACATGTATTACATGAGGTTGAAACAACAAACATCGAGATGGGGAGGGATTTCTAAAATGTAAGATCCCAGCTGCTCTGTCACATGGAGATTAACGTCAGGCTGTATGAGGTTATTTATAAATACCCATTGAGATTTTAAATGACTAGATTGAAAAATTGTAGTCATTTTAAATAAGTCAACGCTGTATCTACTCAGTACAACATTCACAGAATGAACGAAAAGGAAGGTGACTGTAAGGCTGTGATGTGATAAGTCCATAAGTAACTATAGCCCAGATCAATTCGTAAGGAAGTCTTTAGTACAGGACCTAACAAGAACCGTCTTTGGTTCTGGAACAAGAAGTTCTATAACAAGAAAGGAAGCTCTGGTTCATTTCATCACATAATTAACTCAGTTACAACTGAACTGAAAGGAGCACAAAAGATCAAGAAAAATAGGCATTACGCATTTTCTAGATGAACCATGAAAAATTACATCTCGGCCTACTGTTTCCAGAAAAAGCAAATTCAGTGCATATTGGGGGAGTAGGTGAGCAACTAATAGGCTTTCCCCTTGCCTCTAGGAATTAGCTCCACAATCTAAAGTGGAAAGTGTCAGGTTGCAATCTGGTTCCCACACCAGGAGTCAAACCCAGGCCACCTGGGTATAAACCGGGAATCTTAATGGCCAGACCACATCAGGTCAGCAATCTGTCCTTGGTTCTTGGCACACTCTTGTCAAAGAATGACAACACACACCCATGGCCAAGCAAGCCAGAAGCAGCGTTTATTGAGCAAAAGCAAGATACCTTCACCACAGATAGCAAATGGGCCCTGTTGCTACAGAAGAACTGACTGTTAACTAAAGTTTTCATTTTATATTATCTGGGTTGGACCCTCCCCAGCAGGCATGGCTAATGCATCACCTTGATGGACAGCTGTTAGTTATATAACCTGAGTCTTACTATGCATGTGGATTTCCCATGAGCCTCTGCAAAAGCGGGGTGGGGGGTGCAATGCAGATTTATGCTAATGACATGATAATTGGCCCAAGGTTACTTATGGTCATCTTCCAGACCCTAGTGTGCCTGCACTGCTTGGCTTTCTAGGAATTTCTTCTTCCAGGAATCCTGACCGCTTCTGGGTTATCGTGCTGAGTTCTGATTAGCAATGCACTCCTCCTCCCTCCTCATGTGGTGGTTATCTCAAGGGGGTGCTTGTCCCCTGTTCCTGGGGGAGCCAGAGGCCTCTCGCTATCTACCTAACAAAAGGATTATAATGCTGAAGAATGGCTGAAGGGGAGAGAGGGTGGTAAGGATCCCTGAACCCTCCGAGGACAGCTGCCAAGCCTGGAAGTCAGTACTCTGTGAGGGTGTCGCTGAAGCCTGACATCAGCAAGAGCTGGGTGGAGGGCACAGTCACACAGAAACTCTCTCCCTGCCACTAATCCTATGAAAAACAGCATGGAATCCACTAGCAAAGCTTGCCCATAGGGCAGCCAGCGGGAGTTTCTGGGCTCCTCGGCACTGAAGATAGGGGACCATGATTGCTATGGTGAACACACCTAAAGTGACCCCCCCCAATGATCCCCAACTCCTGGTGTTCACATCTTTGTACAATCCGGACCTGCGACTTGCTTCTACTCAACAGGATATGGTAATGGTGATGGGTGTCACTCCTATGATTGCTTTATGTTGTATTATGTTCTAAGACATACGAGCAGACTGAAGCAAGAGACCCTCTTACTGGCTGTGAAGAAGTAAGCTGTCATGTTAGAGTCATATGGCAAGGAACTGTAGACAGACTCTGGGCAACAGCTACAAGAAAAGGGGGATAGAAGTCCTATGACTGCCAACAACCTGAAGGAGCCTGGAAGCAGATCTCGCCTCAGCTGAGCCTCTGATGACACCACAGCCCAGCCAACACCTGGTTTGCAGCCTGATGGGATCTGGGAGCGGAGAACCCAGATAAGCTACAAAAACCATGAGATAATAGATGCATGTTGTTTTGAGCCACTAAGTTTGTCATAATTTATTACAGAGCATAGAAAACTAATATTTTTTTTTAAAAAAAGAAAACTAATACAGTTCCCAAAAAGGAAGACGGCAGCTTCATGCTCAGAACAAGCTACTCGCTGCTGGCCAGGCGTAGGCCCAGGCCCACAGGATCCAGTCAGACACCTGACAGCAGCCTCTGTTGGGTGAGGAGTTTTCTGTGTCCTTGAGGGCAGAGACCACCCTGGGAGACAGAAGTGGACTTCTAGAAGTGACCTCCAGGAGCCATGACTTGGCCATCTAAGGGACCACAGGACAAGGGACTAAATATTCTACAATCGATTTGTAAGGAAGAAGCATCAGCCTGAAACTGTCAGCTGAGCAGGCACTTGCTACCCTCCTGTGGGGGAGGGGAAATACCAGTTATGGTTCCCAAAAGGCCATGCCATTGAATCATCCTGGAAAAGAACATGGGAAACCACCAAATTTCCTCAGATGGCTTCCACTTCTGGAAAGGACAGAGATCTGGATTTATACACTAAGAAAAAAGAAGGACACAGAATGCATTTCTGGAGATATAGGGTTAACTACCAGCGAAAGCCTCCCAGCCTACCTTATCTGAAAATTAACACCAAACACTCTCCACTTAAATAAAGGCACTCCAAGAAGAGCATGGCTAACAATGAAATATGCTTCCGCATCACTGTTGCCAACTTGGTACATTCCACTAGATTAGAAGTCACAGGTTCTAGAGCTAACTAGAGGTGGGTCATTTACCAGCTCTGAGCCTTTGGGCAATCTACTTAAACTTTCTGTGCCTTAGTTTCTCTCACTATTAAATGGGAATATTATAAGTAGCTATTTCTTAACATCATTGTAAGGATTAAATAGGAAAGAAATGTGTAAAGTCCTTAGCAGAAGGAGTGGCACAAGATCCAGGCTCAACAAATATTACCTGCTACTGATCTGTTATGATCATCTGCAACTGTGTTCTTTACTTTTCCTTCCTAGCACATTTCACCGTTCATAACCATTCATTCGATAAATACGAATCACACTACCACTATGTGTCTGGCACTATTCTTTAGCATTCACTGATAGACAGAAGTGACAAAATCTCTGCCCTTATGGAGCTAACAATCTAGTAGGAGAAAGACAATGAACAACAGACACACATGAACACCTAACAGAGTATGTTCAATGGTGGCAAGTGTTAAAGGAAGAA